GATTTGTCATAATACTAATAGATGTATAATTGATTTTTGACAACCAAAAATATGCAAGCAACAGTATATCTGAGCTATGTTTAGCAAAGAATGAATCCTTATAGATAGAAACTGCTTTTCGACAGTTTAGATTCTTGCATCTTAGTATTTTTTTAATTTGATTTAATTCAGAATTGCAATATTGGCATGTTGGTTTGTGAATTATATTATTTGAAAATAAATAATCAATACATGTTTTTTCTTTTAGTAAAACTTTATAAATTTGTTTAATATTTGGAAATGACATGATAAATATATTTAAAATTTTGATACAATATATAATATATTTATATAATAAAAATAAATTTATAATTTTTTAAATAAACCTTTTATCCGTTTAAATGATGGATTATTTTTGTTTTTTTGTTCAAAATTTTGATAAACATCCTCATCAATCTGCTTACGTTTCTTAAAATTTTTTGGTTTATCTTCAGAGATATCAAGCTCTATACCCGATTCATAGAATTCTGATTCTGATAAAAATTCATCAGGATCTCTTGATTTGTTTAATTCTACATAATTTGACTGAATTCTAGTTTGTTCGATATTTACTGATTCTTCTGCTTAATAGAATCAACTATAGCAGTCTTTCCTTTCTTTTTTTTATATGTATAATCTGAATCATCAGAATCAATATCTGATAAATATTCACTCGATTCTTCTTTTTGAACTTTAATTTGAGATGTGCTCGACTCAATTTGTGGATCCCAGACTTCTACATCTATATTAACTTTTTTATTTTTTGCTAATTCATATCCAATATTTTTTTCTTCGGATTCTTTAGTTTCTTTTTTTCTTTTTAAATACTGTTTATGATCAATAATTTCAATATCTTGTAAATTGTTTTTGTTCTTTAACTTTTCAACAATTTCAGGATAAATGATTAAATCAGCTTCTTTTTCTTCAAAATTTTCATGTTCTGAAAGAATAAACTTTGTTCTATTGTAATTAATTTGTGGTTGCCAATAAAATCTTTTTCCTTTTCTAAAAAACAATACATCTTTTTCTTCTACAATTGAAATTGCTTTTTCTTTTGAAACATCTTCGTTAAATTCAATTTCAAATTCTTGTTTGTTAAATTTTTCTTTAGATCTATGATGAAAAATTCTCATCACTTCACAACAATAGCATTCATTTTCACAAACTTTTTTCTCATCTCGTCTAAATTTGTAATATTCAATCACAAAATCAAATCTATCAATTAATGATGCGTAATATTTTCTATTATTTTTTTTGTTTCCTCTTGAATCATATAAGTATTTTTGATCTTCTGCATAATTATATAATTCACGTAATGGAGTATTTGAAGTAAAACATTGAATTTTTGGTGCATAATTTTTACTTGATCCTTTGATTTGAACTGTGTATTTTCCACGATCCAATATGTTTAATAATTCTTTCCACTTCATATAATCTCCTTCAAATTCATTGATTATTACTTCTTCATATTCATTAAAGTTTTCCCACCACTTTGTCTCTTCTGCAACTTTTTTGTATGTATTTGGAAATAAAATATTCAAAAGATGAGACTTTCCAGTTCTTGGAGTTCCAAAAATAAAAATATTACAACTTTTTCAACATCGTTCTTGAATTATTTTCTTGTTTTTGATATTTTTTATTGCTTGTTCTATGGTGTAAATAGGATTAGGATTATTCAAAAGACATTGAGGATTTTCTAAAATACATCGAATGAATGCTTCATCTCCATTAATATTTCCACTTATTAAATCATTCATAATTTCTGTTGTAGCAATAATTCTCTTGTTTTTTTGAGAAACTGATTATTTCCAACTTTATTTTGTGATTTTGTTTTATATATACCATACTCAAATGGACCAGAGTGATCGTCAAATCTTGCTAATGTTCTTTTGTTGCAACACTCATTATCACACCACTCACATTCCGAATGATCATTCAAAACTTGAAGATTACATCTGCATCTCATAATTTTACTCTTTGGATCATCTGGATTTGATAGTTGATTGTGATGTTTGAAACAACGATTATATTTTTTCTTATTATAAGCAACTGAATATTCAAAATCTGCATATGTTGGATCAAAGTGAATCTTATCAATTTTTAACAATCCTTTAACTCCTGAATGCTCAGCTTTCTTTAAAATTCTATTTTTTTTCTTATCTCCAATATTAAGATAACTACCCAATCTTGATTGATTATGTAAAATTAAACATCCCTGAATGTGTATTTTGAACTGATTTTGTTTAGGGTTATAGTTTTTCTCATATTGATATAAGAAATATCTGAAAGGATTTGTTTTTTCATCTTTAAAATAATTGTAAATTAGAGTATCAAATTCTTGTCTATCAAAGTAATACGTATTGAAATTAAGAAAACGATGTAATTTTCTGTCAAAAGGAATATTATTTTTCTTGATATAATCAGACATTTGTTTGTAATTTTAGTGTCTAAATCTAGTTTACATACTTAAAATTTTGAATGGTGAAAAAATTAAATTTTCACTATTCAAAATATTTTATTATAAAATTTATTAAAAAACATTAATTACATGTACAAAAAATATGTTTTTCTCAACAAATATTTGCTCAAATTACATGAAAATTGAGATTCCAATCGTTAAGAACCAACACAACAAACTTTATTATTGAAGTAAAATCAATTTTATTTTGACAAGTGCTTGAATTAATATTTAAAAATTATCTTGCAAAATAAAAACGTATGCAAAAGAGAAATGAAAATCTACAATAATTTGATGAGTTTTAATCCGTTTGACTTGAAATTTCACAGACAAACTCTCGAAACATTCCCCTAAAAACCTTATTATGATCGTACAGCATGTTTCATTTGACCATTATGCTTAAATTGATTGTTACGTTCCTGTAAATAAAAATACAAAATTCGTCAGTAGTTCTTGTTAGAAAAATTGTAATAACTTTACCAATTCATGTTTAAACTGCTTAAAACTTCATCAGGCAAAACTTGAGAATATGCTTGACAACTCTTGTTAATGCGCAGTCGTATGTTTAGACCGAACTTGCAAAAATTCCACAATGATACCATCATTTTTCGTTACTTTCATCAAACGCAGAAACGTCTTACCAAAGACGAACGTAAAACTTGAATATCTTCACGAGATTTTGTCTAAAAAAAGCTCAAATTTCACAGACAAATTCTTGAAAACCATGCACAACTTTGTTATTATTGACAGTTTGCATGCTTCATTTGGAGAAAGTGGTCTTCTGATCGATTGAAAACCGTCGGCAATTTTCGAAAACGTATAGACGAATCGAAGAGAAAATCATGAATATCTCTGCGAATATCTAATGAAAAAGGCTAAAAATTGAGATTCAGATAGTCCGATATTCCATCCAC